ATCATACAGTTTGGTCATCAGGACTCTTTGGACGCGACGGCTGCGACATACTCACAGAGCAATCTCTTGAGAGAAATTGTGAGATGAAAGAAGGGCGTCAATATATGTGATTCTCAGTTCCAAGATAAGAACGGTGTATTCAATTGAAATTTTTAAGGATTTTTTAAAATTTTTTAAATTTGATGACTTTTGTGGATTTTGTAGAATTTTTATGATTTTGGTAGACTTTTTGAGACTTTCATAATAGATTTTTTAAAACTTATTGAGATTTTTATATACTTGCAGTTATAATATTATGTTTGAATAAAATATTAATAAATGTAACATAATTACTAATATAAACAAGAATAAATAAAAAAAAATGTTGTATATATTAATCTTCTAAAAATTTATGAATAAACTCGTTTTTATGCGAAATGAGTTATTCACGAACAAACTGTTTAGGATTTTAGATTTATTAAACGAGTAAATCGATCCGAGCTTCAACGAGTCGAATCGAGCAGGGCCTTATATTTGTTTGTTAAAAGAGTACAAGCTCAAATATGTGTTAGACATCTCTGATATAACGACACTTATAATCAATCTAAGTTAAGATATATTTATCTAATTATTGATTGATTTTATTTTTTATATTTTTTTGCATAATGTTGTTATATTAGAAAAATATTATTACGATATTTTTTTACAAGATACAAACATTGTCGAAAAACAGTAATTGTATCTTATAAAATTAATAATAATATTCAAAATATTTTATATTAACAAATAAACTATATGACAATAAAATATTTTTTTTAATATTTAGAAATAAACATTTACAAATAAAAAGAAAGAACAAATAATTTATTTGCAAGTGCAACTATAAAAGTATTAACATTTGAAAAGTCAAAATCACAAGATAGCAAAATGAGAGAATAAAGGTATACACACATAATATGAGTATAATAAAAAAATATATAAAATATAAAGATCACATTAATATACGTAATGAAAATAAAAATTACACAAGGTATCAAAATAAATAAGTAAAATAATAGAGCATGAAAATTATATGAGATACAAAGTCGTGTTAGAAAGAAATTTTTTTTGTGTAGATCAATTATTCACATTTCAATTTAAATAGAATATTAATTAAATAATAAAATTTATTGACTAAATTAAATATATAATAAAATATGTAATTCTGTTGACTGGCGTTGACTGTCAGTCGTTGACAAGCATTGACCGCCAGTCAGAGGCGAACTGAGAGCCAGAGACCAAGGAACTCAGCTACGGCCCGCCACATCCCCACCTACTGCTGCCACCCCAACGAGCCGACCACTAGTATCTCCGGTCCCGAACCCCTCGCCGCCGTCGGTGACCCCCTCCAAAACTAGGACGATGCAGAACAGTGTCAAATGGAGAAATTCGCCCAATTGGAAGTGTAGAAGCTGAATCCGACATATCTGGACATCAAAGAAGACGAAGCACTAGTCGTCAAGTGCGTTGGGATTCTCCACTCTATGGCAGTGATCGAAAATCGAATGGGTCCCCATCTCATTTTTTGCCCTAGGGTTTTCACAATCGCCGAGGAGGAAGCCGGTCTGAACATCCTGCGGTCTAGGTGTTGGTGTATATTGAAAGTGATAGGACAAAGTTATCACCCGGGTTCCTCGACTCAGACGGCCACCGTACCTGCAAGAACCTAAAGCTAGGGACCCCGGGAGGGGTGCCCGGCTTTGGGTCTTCGATGCTTAAGTCAGTACTGGATTCATATGAGAATGCATAGAGTGAGAGACAGAGTGTAGAGAGAGTGTGTAGGGAAAGAGTGTGTAGAGAATGAAGGAAATGAGTACCTTATCCCCTTTTTTATAGGGGGAGTGTACCTTATAGTCTAAGTTGGGCTTGGCTTAGGTTGGGCTTGGTTTAGGTTGGGCTTGGCCCATATTATCATATCAAGTGTCTTAGCCAATCTATAGGCGTATTCTTCAATATATATCCATAAAAATTGGTTGGGTATGACATGCTATATCAGATACTATCGGTCGAGCCGATAGTACTTGTCGTGGCTATATCAGAAAGCTTAGCTTTGGATGATATTTACACTTTATTTCTGTTGAATGAGAATAGTGTTTGATTTAATAAGTTCTATGTTTTGTTGTTTTGCACTTAGATAAAATGGTTTACAAGCGGGTGAACTGGAGATCATTTTATCAGTGACTTGCGATACAAGAATGACTGGTTCACACTTAGGTAGAAATGAACAACTATCATAACGGTTGTAGTGTCAACAATACAATTGATCATAGCTGATTAGTTTCACTTCTACATTTTATATATTGAACGAATCCTATAGAGGAGCATTTCGTTTTATACTAATCGTCATAAACGAACTAGGCCTCGGTTAATTACTGCTTTCTCTTAACTCGTAAGATATAAACAGACATGTGCATGCAGTGACTATTGCTTTTGATTCACAAAAAGCGAGATTCATTCTGTTGGGTCAATAGTCTTAGTGGTTTGGGTCATAGTGTTGCATGTACGTTATGTTGTTAGAATATTTACGGTCACCATGTACGTTAATTTGATGATGTCCCTGAAGTGAGATAATGAAGGATTATTATATTAAACCCTGCAGGTGGATTAAGTTCCAACATAATAATAATAGAATAAGTTGTACTAGATTCGGTTTACAAGATGTCAACAAATTCTTGATTGTCTGTAATCGAATTAACTGATGACATTATATCTTACACATGGAAGGTAATTTATCTAATTATTATTGGAGTCTCGAATGTAATTTGGTGATGATAAGGGAGTGTAATAATACTTTTTTAGTGGACTGAAAATATTTAAGTTATTGAGCAGAGTGGGCTTGGCCCACAACTAGGCCCAATGCATAAGGTGCCCAAATCATAACCTCCTTTGGATCCGTACCCAGCCCTATTAATACA